AAAGCTAATGCTCCATAAATAAAATGAATCTGTTTTCAATTCTTATATACAGTCAGGCTAATTCTAACTCTTAAGCACGTAATTACCATAATGGTTGTTACGAATTTTTGGCGTTTCCGATCATGAAATCTTTATTATACCAATTGACAGTTTGAAATTCCAACTAGATTCAGTAAGATGAATGTAAAATTGTGAGTGTTAATGTCGACACATTCCAAGCTGATGTTCGTCAAGTTCTATCTCAAACTTGTCTTTATTGAGCACATTTGTTACATTACTGTTGTATCGATAGGATGTGTACAAAAATTGAAACACGCAAATCTTGCAGCCGGGACCGAGTTTGCTAAGAACGTACTGTGCGAATGTTTTATCTTTAAGCCCAAGCCACTTTTGGGAGTGTGCTTGTTTTTAATAAGCTGCAGCAGGCTTGTCATCTGATTATGATGAGTAAACGATATTTTTTTTGTTAAATTTCACCGTGAAATTTTGCAAATTTTGCAATCTCGAAGAATTCCGATGGTTATTTTTTGTATTTATTGCGTCATAGCCTGAGGTTTAAAAAACACATGACTTGTTAGATTTAAATGTTGTAATTAACTTGATCAAGCAGATTATGAACAAAATTCTCAGTGTTTGTGGTGCATTATGGTAGGTTTTTTTTACATAAAACGTTGTTTACAATATGATTATGTGCGTGTTTGCAGATTTCATATTTTGAAAATATTGTAAAACATATTTTCATTAAGTTTAATGAACTCCTAATAATCTTAAGATTACACAGGAATTCTTTGCATGTTATTTTGATGAAATCTGTGTAGAATAGTTCGAATGAATTCAATATTGCAATAGATTGGTAAAGTTTTAACATTTGATAAAAATCTCAGTAAATTACCAGTATACTTGGTCACCTATATATAAATGGCACTCAGTGCATTTTAAGAGTAATAAAGTAATAACCTTTATTAAGAGGCTCTCAAAATATTTACATGATTTCATTGAACCAATCCTCTTCAGCCTGTAGTATTAAAATACCCATTGACTATTAATTGTTGTAATTTTACGAAGGATTAAGCGCTGAACATTTGACCTGTTTGTTTAGAATTATGCAAGACGCACCCAGATATAATATACCAAATGAAATACAATAGAGGAAGGACATTTAAGATATTTTAGCAAGGTTTGCGGTTTGTTATGTTATGACCGGCGATACTAGGATAGATTTATTAAATGTGAGACATATAGATATTTGGATATGATACTGGTAAAAATATTTGTATAGTTCGTCTATAACACAAGGTACAATTTATTGGGATTATTTGCGTTAAAGGATGTTTATTTCAATATAGAATAGATTGAAATCTAATAGAAATAAAAGTGAAAGGTACGTATACGTAGTATTGAAATTTCATTGTTTGGAAAGGTGACATAAATTTATATTTTTGTATTGCTAACACTATTATTAAAAAAGAAGTCTTCTATAACAGATTTTACATTTTCTTGAAAGCATTTTACCAAAGGTAAATCGTATCATCAGGCATTAAGTACTTACTTACTGTATCTTATAATGCTCAATAAGTGCAGGGGAACTGTATCTCTGGCATAAGTTTTTGCCTTTGAATTCATATTTCGCTAGAATAAATTATGTAATAACAATGTATGTTTAGATCTTAATTGAATTTACTTGTCTCTTGTTTAATGCTTTTGTTATAAAAAACTCTTAAAACAGCATTTTGGGACACAAAGTGCTGTATTTTTTAATTAGGAAATGAGAAAAAAAGAAAATCGATTTGGTGTCATGCATGGTGTCATTTTCTTACTCAAAAAAATTTTCCGATAAATCTCCAAGGGGACTTTTGTAACAGTTTTCGGGAAGTTTTTTTTACGTTTGAAGATCCACTCTTGTGTTGTTTTTGTTGCCGCCTCGCACTAAATGTGATAGATTGAAACTGATATTGGACAGAACTGTTCTCAGTTAAATTGAATTTCAGACTGGGTTTACTTCAAATCCCTTACAAAGTATCATTGTCAGATTTCTTTTAACCAGTCTGCAAATTTCAGACGAACTTAATTACTGTCACATAGGATAAGGAATAAGTGTATTGAAAGGCTTTTTGTGGTCATACAGTAGACGCAAGTGTGACTATATTCCTCTTGATTCATTGTAACCACAGTGCGCTGATAAAAAAAGTGCTGAAAACAGTTACACAAATGTACTATTAATTTTTTGTCAAGAATCGTTCTGCACCTCTAATTTGCTTGTGCGAGGGAAAACCCAACCTGTGTTCTATAAATTTTGTCAGTACACAGTGAAAAAGTTCTTTAGAGTTTGATCAAATTAGAATGTCAAAACTTCACAAGAGTGCTCTTTAGAGTTTGGTCAGTATTTCACAGGAGTGTTTCATTTTTCCACAAGAGTGTCTATATTTCACAAGAGTGTTCATTAGAACGTTTTACTTTTTCTTTAGAATTTAATCAGTACAAATTATCATTAGAGAGGATAAGCAAAACTAGTTCTTTAAAGATTGTTCAAAATACTTGTTCTAGAAAGTTGTTCTTTAGAGGTTATAGTATACTTATTCTGTGTCGAAGGAGAAATAACACATTAATAAATGCACATTTAAAACACCAAGTGTCCTTGTAAATGATCATTAATTTCATACTTGATTCAATTTTTAAGGATGAAGAAAATCAGCAAAAATTGCATAATTATTCGTGGGTGCAGTGCAAATATATTCATGAGTTCTTTAGATGATTGCAATTTATCAATGCAAATATAAATAAGATATAAATATTATATATCAATGTCATATAGAAATGAAAAGTGATTTATGCAAATAAAGCCATTCAATATGATAACTTATATAAATGTTGCAGAAGTTGGGAATGTAGTGAACTATTGAGTTGAAGAGAGAGTGGTGATATATTTATATGGATGCTTTGCATAATTGATTTATACAGGAAAGTGAATAATTGATTATATACATAGAATTGGTATGTAAAGATTAATAACTGTTTCCAAGAAGCGGCTTTAATCAAGTCTAGTGCGAGAATTATTGTCAGTTGGTCGGACATTCTCTTCAATATTGGTTGCGGCAGTCTAATAATAAAGACAATTGGTTTCAATTTACATCTTTTCATTACATCTTGTAGGTGTTGACTGATTTCAGGTCTCTCTCTCAAATAGATTTTAACTGTAAGAGTTATGGAGTTATTTCAATATTGAAAATATATGATGATTTATTGTGAGCACACGTCTATATTGTGTTTGACGAAGTCTACTTGTTTGTTTCCATAATTAAGATATAAACAGTGTAACATTATTTCTCTGCTTTATAGATCTAAATATTACATAGTATATGTATATCTTTATTTTATAAATGTATATTAAAATTAGACTTCTTTAACTTATGGCAACTTTATTTTAAAGATTTTGTGAAATCTGTTTAATTGTTTCTTTATTTTTCTGGTTTTAACGGCAAATTTTAAAAAAATTTGGGGGCAATATAATTAGTATGTTCAGGTTAATCAATTGCCTAACCTTTCCAATCCTGGATTGTTGGATTTCTATAACTAAAATTGTATATTTGATGTACAGACCATCATAAGATTCTATCATTACTATAATAGTTGATTGACGTAAACTTTGAGAAGTAAGAGATTTATGTACCTATTTGACTTGAAAGTCATCTTGATGGCGACTTTGTTTTATCATTCCGTTATCAATTGTTTTGTTTGTATGTAAACATACTTGCCAGCTACATTTCCGATTGCATATTTAAGAAGATAGTAATGTACCTGTCTTAATGATATGACATCAAGAATAGTGCTTCAAAATGTCGGAGTCATTGTTAAAACTACTTTACATAAAACAAACCATAGCTGCTCCTCTTAAGAGTCTTGTATAGTCTGTAGCTTTCATGAAAATTAGAGATAAATTCTTGTTCAACAAATTATATATAACATTTTATTCACTTTATTGTCCTGTACTTCATAAAAGGTTAAAATAATATTATTTCCGGTTGAATCCTAACTTTTTAAGCCTTCATTAGTTGCCAACTGTGTTGTATGCTTTATAGGGAAAGTTGGTTAGATTATAACGAATTTTGTTTATATATGTACAAATGGAATACATGTACATATAAAAAATATTAAAATCTTGTAAAGATGGTTTAACGTAAACCATATATGGCAATCATTCAGTGATTGGTTGCGATATTAATTTGCAGTTTTGTCAGTATACTGTGTACATATATGTGACCTTTTGACAGTTTCATTACATATTCTCAATAATAGTTATTGTAAATGGGTCCTTAATTGCCAGATCAATATGTGCACTTGGGCAGGTGTTAAATTACTTTTACATCATTGCAAATATTGTTATATTGCATTTCAATGTTGTTAATAATAGATGGATTTATATTTGGTAAAGGTATATATGATGCAGCTTTCTAATATTGGTTTATTTTAAGCTGTTGGACCAAGGTATGAATGGATGGTATAATAGTGGTAATGGACTGTTAATATATTTATACAAGGTGTATAACAGTATGTTTACATGACATGTGATGACACCAGTGACATCATTCAAGGCTTGCCTCATGTATTTTGTTAACTATAATGTGAACCATTAATGACATTGGTCATAAGTTATATCCCTGGCGCACTCCTGATGATGGATGTAACTACCCTAATGCTGTCTACAACAAATCTTTCTGTCTGGACTAATGCTTTTTCGTTATTGCACATTTATCATACATTGTATAAGCTGTTGTTATTTTGTGTTGTTGTTTTTTTGTTGATTTTTCAAATTGACAGTTCGTCAGTTTGTTGTTGTTGGTGTTTATTTTTGTTGGTAAAACATTGTTAAATTTAGATTTTGTTTTGTTTTTTGAACATAAATATATCATTTATCTTAATGCAACATTGGTAAAGAATACTATATAATTATTTATTTTGTGAAACATCTTTTAAACATTTGGCTCACTTTTTTCTATTTTCAGAATTTGGATTGGATTAAAACCAAGTGAAGTTTATTTTGGAATTTACTTTGAGTCTGGAAGATTATAAGATAAAGGTAAGCTTTTCTACAGTCATACTTAAAGAATAAATTATATGTATACAGTCTAACTTGCCCATGCGACCACGTGTATTAAGCGACTTTTGTCTTAAACGACCACTTTAAATTCCCCCCGATCATTTTCTCTCTATATCTTTAATGTATTAAGCGACTTTTGTTCAACGCGACCAGCGACCGCTAATTAGTCACCTAATTGACATCAATCTTTTCATTAAACGACCACTTTTACCTGTCAAGTAATTGTGTTTTTAGAGAACGCCACCTCGTTATGTCACAAGTGTCAGCAATCAAAACACAACAATAAACGTGTGAAAAACTCTATTTCCCATACCGTTTTAGCGTATGCAAATGAAGTTAAGTATACGCGTGATGTGTATTATCCAATAATATCGGATAAACAATGCAACGCTCCGCCCATACTGAGATGGTGTATACGCTTCGCTTGTTGACATTTAGACTGCATTGAATTGACCTTGACCTTGATCAGCCATTAAATTAATTGTAACAAATAGATGTAGTCTGTTTATTTCAAATGAAAAAATGCACAACAGAAAACATTTTCACTAATAGGGTTTTCGTGTTGGAGACAAGGAAAAACAACGGAGAAGTTAAAAAATTCTGGAAAAAATGTCAAACATGTACGTAATGGATCAAAACTGTTTTGTCAATAAATATCAGAACGTTATTTTTACATTTGCATCCGTTTAGATTATCGGAGCGTACTTATTATTCAACATTTATATAAAAATGAAGTTGAAAAACAATCCCATCGAATAAAAAAGATGTCATTTATAAATTTTGACTTTTATATCATGCTGACTGTCTTAAGAGACCGTTTCATTAAGCGACCGTTTTTGGTGTTTCCCTTGCCCGGTCGCTTAATACACGTTTGACTGTATATAGAATCATTCTTTGCGAAAAGAAATATTTTGTTCAGTTATTGAACTCCCAACAGGGAATTACCTTTCCTCTCTGTATATTAATCACCTATACATGTATCATGTGATCAGGATAACTCGTTATGATTGGTAGATGAAAGGAGTGAAATAAATTGTCTTATTTTATTACCAACATTAGCCGAATTTTCTAAGAACATTTTGAAGACAATATTGATAGCTATAATAAATATGTAATTATATAAGAAAAGATAAGTTATGTTGTGGTGTTTGATTTATCAGCGATCTTATTTAAGGTTCTTCATCCAATTTGAGCATTTGAAAATCAAGACTATTGTAAACTATCTTTCAAACGCACCCTCCACTTTTTTCTGCTAATTCTTCGAGTCTTATCTCTTTCAAATAGTATCTTTTGAGTAAGGCACTTAAAATACATTAAAAACATTTTAAGCTAGAGAAAGTATGAATTTTAGCTAGCAAGTTTCAATTATTGATGGAGGATGCCAAAAGTTTCATCACCTTGCATTAACACTTTTATCTGCTTCTTCTATAGGGTTTCACAGAGGTTATGCAGTGTTAATAAATTGCATAATTGAAGATGCACAGTTACTTTATATATTATGCAAGTACTTTAAAATCTAAAGAGACATGGACATTGAACAGTTTTGCCATTGTTCAGTGTCAACAGTTTTTTAGCTTTTTAAAAAAAAAAAAAAATAGAAGTATTGTTCACTTTAGGCTTCTATTGACCAGGTGAGAAAAAACAACAACAGTATGGCCATGATATCTTGTTACAGCCAACATGGGGGGTCATTATTGTCATAAAACGGTATTGACAATATTTAACCACCATGTCAATTTCTTGCCAATTGACAACACCATAAAATGTGCTGTGAAGATGTTGTCAACAGTCATATGTTTTGTTGAAAATTATTGCCAACAAACTAATATTACAAATGAGTTTTGTAAATTTAGATCGTAAGTACATGTATATAGCATCAGGAATATCTATGTAACACATAGACTGGAAATTTTTCAGTATCATAATTATTTAACTCAAAATGCAAATATTTAAATATATAATGATTATTTGGAATGAATATATACAAATAAGAATATATTTAAATAAGGGGAGTATAATGTAAAAAGGTAATTAACTGTATTGGAAATCTGTTTCAGAATTGACTAATGCTGATGAGTGGTGTTAAATTTAGATTATACTTGCACAAAAATGCAATACGGGATTGTTATTGCATAATTATGTATCATAAAAAATGTAATGTTTTGGGGTATGTACCTCAGTTATTTAAAGCTTGGAACACTTCAAGATATCAGTCTTCTAAGTATTTCCTGTAATTTAAGGAATTGGTCGCACTTTTGTATTTTTTGGGGGGATACAGGCTAAAACATTCACTTTGCACTTTGCGCAATCTGCAAAAGTGTGATTTTATTTCTGGGACTTTAATGGAATAATTTGGGCAGTTATTGCATCTTTTTCAGTAGAAAACATGGAAATTGAGTGTTTCTGAGGGAATATTGACCGCAGCCTGAAATTGAAAAGACATTTTAGTGCACAATAAACACTGTTCTAGACTGTATATTCTTTAGGACGCTATCATGTTCAGTGTATTTGATTACATCCAGTAATCGTTTGTTACTATCCCCTGGGAAATAACTAGACTGGTACCCATAAATATTGTATGTAATCACATGACAAGTTAAATTTAACTGGTACCAGTATTTCACAGTTTTCCCACCTGCATGACATTATTCGGGAATTGTTTGCTTCCTTATTTTGCCTTTGAATTAGTGTTTTCTGCCTAATTGACATGTTTGTTTGTTAACTTCAGGACCTTGTCTATAGTGCTTTATTTATTGTTTTTCTTCCCAAAGACTTTTACATCTTAGGATATTTTTTTAATGTCAATGAAAGTTAAACTTCAATTTAACAAGAACAGCTTACAATTATTTTCTTTCACTGTTAAGAGAAGCTTGTGTTCTGGTGTTTCCACCATCACCCATTTCATCATCATCATACTTTAGAAAATTCTCAGCAGCCTGCATACTAGCAGTCTTTACTAGGATCTTGTCTGCTCCATTTTTAACTGCATGAATTAATTTGTCTTTTCACTTTAACAGCATAACATGTTTATTGCTAAGGCTTTCCTCTTATTCCAATCTAGGAACATTCGGTTTTTCACTCTTAGTGTTATTGCATCGTCCCAGAATGCAATTTCTGAAAAAAGAGAAGGTTTGACAGAAGCCATTATTATTTTTCCTACTTACAGACACAAACCTTTTACAACAGAACTAAAGCTTATTATGTGCATAATATTGGGGGAGACATATTTTGAAAGCAAGTTTGTGTTTTAGGATCATGCATACAGAATATGGAGTCAAAGCTAAAATGTTATAGCATAGCTTTGACTTGCTGAATTTCCTGAATGGCCATATGGAATTTCTAATTTGAAACAACCCATTATCAGTTTTAAAGATATAACTAAAACGAAAATTCAGAAGTTAGTCTGTCTGTGTCAAACATTATAGATGTACATTGTATATCTGGGGTGTCTGTGGCCAATTGGCTTCAAACCACTTGCCCCTCACCACTGTGGGTTAGAATTCGGGCAGGGACATCAGATTCTTTCATGAGGAAGATATCCAGCTAGCTTACAGAAGTTGGTGGTTCTTTTTCGGACTGCCTGCTCAAATGTGCCTGAAATAATGTACAAAAGGGCACCTGAGGTCTTCCTCCACCACCTGTAAAATTTGGAAATTCGTCATATGACCTATACTGTGGTGGTGTGATTGATGTAAAACCCAACCAAAATATCAAAAATATATTTTGTCCCCTCAGAGACTACGTAGACTATGCAGACTTTGACCTGACTCTTTTATAACTATAGTGACAGATGCTTCCAATTTTCTGTTTCATTAATAATAATAATGTAAGGGCTATTATGCACCATTAAGGATAATTGGTCATTATTATCATTTCAACAATTATTATTGGAAAATATACAACATTGATTTCACTTAATGACAGATTATCTAATCATTTATAGATGTAAACTTGATAAAAAGTGATATATTGACATTGTTATAGAGTCCAATGCCAGGGGCAGAGTTAATAACCCACTATCAAATAGTCAAATGTCATTATGGCCCCAGAAGATACATTAAGCTTTTTATTTAATTGTAAAATGATTTATGATGACATAATGTAAAATGTAGACAGATTTCT